GACTGTATATTGCAGCTCAATTTACAATCGCCAAAATGTGGAAACAGCCTAAATGCCCACCAACCCAGGAATAGATTAACAGGCTGTGCTATGGGTATACTATGGAATACTATTCAGCCATTAAAATAGATGGAGACTTCACATCTTTTGTATTAACCTGAATGGAAGTGGAACACATTCTTCTTAATAAAGCATCACAAGAATGAGAAGCAAGAATCCTATGTACTCAGTTCTAATATGAAGGCAGCAGGTGAAGGGAAGGTGGGAGGGGGATGGGCTCATGGTGTGTGGCACACCTTTTGGGGGTGGGACACAATTATAGGAGGGACTTCACCTAATAAATGCAATCAGTATAACCTAATTCTTTGTACTCTCAATGAATCTCAAACAATAACATAATAAAAACAATAATAAAAACAATAAAACTCTCTTTGTTCTCTCACTGCATCTGCAAAGAATCCACAAGCGGTCCCTGAGGTAGGGGCTGATAAACTTTATGTAAAAAGCCAGATAGGGAACATTTTCACCTTTACAGTTTTTTTTTTTTTTTGAAGCAACATTTCAAAATGTAAAAACCATTCTTGTGGATTATACAAAACATACCATGGGCTGGATTTGGCCCATGGGCAGTGGTCTGCCAACCTCTGCTGGCATGGTGGGTATGATGGCGCAACCGCATCTTCCATGAAGATACTTAAAAAATAGCTCCATCAAATTGGACGTGGGTAAAGCAATGATAAACTATTACAGGTAACTATAATAATTTAGCCTGATTCTCTAAGTGGATTGTTTCAAATCTCCTTAAATTCTCATTCTACTTTACAGATCTTAAAAATGGAAATCATAGACTTTGCAATCACAGATGATCTAGAAGGAAGAAAAACAGAGCCGGATTCCAATCAGCAAACTCAGTCAAGATGAGGTATTGGTCTTGCATAGAAAGACTGGTGAAAAAGATCGTTTATGCATTGAATTCAAATTAAAAGTTTAAACTCTGGAAAAAAAAAAAAGAATATAGTATCTGGCTGGTCGTGGAGGCTCACTCCTGTAATCCTAGCACTCTTAAGAGGTCAAGGCAGAAAAATAGCTTGAGCCAGGAGTTCAAGACCAGTCTGAGCAAATCCTGTCTCCACCAACAACAGAAAAATTAGCTGGGCATGGGGGCTAGTGTCAGCTACTCAGGAGGCTGAGGCAGAAGGATCACTTGAGCCTAGAGAGTGTGAGGTTGCTGTGAACTATGATGACGCCACTGCATTCCACCCCTGCCTCAAACAAAACTAAACAAAACAACTCAATCTAATACTGTTGTACATATGTCGATTAAAATTTAAACCACAGCTTGTTAATATGACTTGTAGGGATGGCTATTTTCAGTAGTAGAAGAAAAAGGATTTTTGAGGTTCACTTGTGTCCTAGATATTAAGTGCGTCCTGTGAGTGAAAAGCCCTCCCATGTTCTTCCCACTGTGTATCTAAAAGACTGGTGGGCACCCACGGAGCAGCTGAAGGTAAGTGAGCCCTCAGTGGTCACCACAGTGACTACAGGAGCAACAGGTGGCCTTGCAATATTGGACTTGAAATTTTGGACAGAAAACATACAAAACATTTGTGACCTTCACCTCCCAGACTGCTCTTTCCCTGGACTCTCATAACAGGCAGCCTATAGAGGCAGCCCCATCTGACCCACTGCTCAGTGCCCAAGCTCAGTATATTCTGAGGGCTCCACCTTCAAACATGCCTGGAGCCTCACAGCCTTCCCCCCACAACTGCTGAACAACAGTGACTGCTTCATAGCCTGGCCCTGTCCTGCCTCTTCCACACAGCAGCCAAGGTGGACCCTCCAGCAGTGAAAGTCAGCTTCCTGGATCTTCTCCACCCCCAAGGAAAAGCCCCAGCTCCCACACCTTGGGCTCCAAGCCTCCTGTGGCTTCCACTCCCCGTGCAGGGCGGCTGTGTCCCCAGAGCACCTGTGCATGCTCTGCTCCCTGCGAGGCGGCTGTGGCTGCTGCTCCCAAGTCAGGTGCCAGCAGTCTGAAAGACAATTTGGCTTCCTGTGTAGTGATGAGCTTTTGACATGTCAGTCTGGCAAGGAGGCAGTCTCCAGCTGCCCAGCCCATCACAAATCTAGATGTTGCTTGGAGGGTATTTGTAAGGTGTGACCAAAGCCCATAACCACCTGAGTGGGGAGAGCCTGGCTCTTTTGGCGGGAAGGCTTTACGAGGGACTCCATCTATGGGTAGCATCTCTGTCTGTGCCTGAGTGTTCTGGCCTGCCCGTCCTGAAGGCCTGCCCTTCGGAAACCAGACTTTCCCAACCAGCCTCCATGACCTTGGAAGCCAATTCCTTACAATAAATCTCTTAACATCCACCTCCATGTGGGTTCTGCTCCTCGAGTTGAACTGGAACAGGCCATCTGTAGAACAAGCACCAAGCGAATCTCTGGCCCCCACGGACAGTGCACCCTGCTGGGAAGGTGCTGGAAAGAGACCCCAGGTGTCCCAGCAGCCTCCAGCTAACTGCCTGTGCTGTAAACAGATGACATAGGAAACACCAGCAGAACAGATAAAACGTGACACTTGTCAATAGAGGCTGCACAGAGACACAGCTGAGAAAATGCGTGCATCGTGACCGGCCATCCTTGGTTTGACACGGGTGAGGGATAAAGCAAGATGTGAAGGATGCCTGTTGTGACTCCATTAGCATGAAGCTAAGACACACGCAAAATAAAAAACATTGTTTTGAGGATACGAAGACAATAAAACAGTAATGAAGATTTAGGAACAACAAACGAACACAAGCGTGCACAGCAGACACCTCTGTGAAGGACGCTGGGAGGCGGGTGAGGCTGAGGCGGCACCGGCAGGAGCTTCAGAGGAGCAGGAATGTCATTTCCTCACAATGTCATGGAGATACCAGTAGGTTCTCTGTTTTGTGGTCCTATAAGCCTCATATATATGTTTTATAAATATTTTCTTCTATTTACTTGATGGGAATGTAAACTAATAGAAATGTAAATTACTATCATCTCTATGGAAATTAGGGTGTAGTTTCTCAAACAACTAAAAACAGACCTCCCATTAGCCTCAGCAACACCACTACTGGGTGTGTGCCCACTGCAAAGAGGTCATTCCAGCAGAAACTCCTGCACTTGCAGCACTGCTCACAAAGGCCAAGGAATGGAATGAACCTAAGTTTCCACCAAGGAACCATGGGAGAAAGACAATGTGGTGTGCACAGCAGATACCTCTGCGAAGGCAGCTAGGGGGCAGATGAGGCTGGGGGGGCACTGGTAGAAGCTTCAGAGGAGTAGGAATGTCATTTCCTCACAGTAGTCAGAGTGCTACTTAGCCCTGAACAAGAATGAAGTGATGCCCCCTCTTGTAGCAACCTGGACAGAGCCAGAGGCCTTACCCTGAGAGGAGTAACTCAGGAAGGGAAGATCAGACCCCATAGTTCTCACTACAGCTGGATGCCACACGATGGGTGCACAAGGCCACACAGGGCAGGACATCAGACACTGGGGATGCTGCAGGGGGGTGTGGGGGCATCAGGGATGGAACCCTACCTGTTACAAGGTACATTGTCAGGTGACCGGTACACAAAGGGTCTAGACTTCACCTCTAGACAATATATGCACATAAAAAAACTTCACTTGTACCCCTAAAATCTATAATTTTTCTTAATTAAAGGATGAAGATTTCAGATGCCTTTTAGAACAAAGTGAAAACACTAAGCAAGACCACAGACTGCAGACAGATCTCATATTCTCACTGGGTTGCACGGCACACGCTCTTGCCTTGGGTACCTGCCAGGGGCTCACACCTGACTGTAAGGTGCCACTGTGTGGACAGAGCCCTGGTTGAGCAGGGTCAGTGTGCAGACCCGAGCCAAACTCCAGTGGCACCACCAAGCTCCCCTCCCCTGGATAGAGGTCCGTGACGGACTTCTCTCCTTATAAGCATTAGAAGAACATTATCAGACCGCCCCACATCCCTCTGAAGCATCCTGTTACTGCAGGGGAATGAGATCTTAGCATGCTTTGGGTACCACCAGGGAACAGAACAGTTCAACAGGGCACTATAGTGGGGCACAAGTCCAGAGCCTATAACATGAAAATGCCTTTTGGTAGTTAGGTCTCGGGTGTGTCATTTAAAACAAGTTATCAATAGAAAGGACGCTGAGCCAAGGGTTCCCATAAGTCAAAATGTGGGAGAAATACCGGGAGCACAATCAGCCCTGTGCTGGAGCTGGCACCTTGTGGGGTACATGTCCTCTGTGACCGCTTCTTCAGTACATATGTCCCTCTGAGTTTTCACATAAGGAAACAGCAGACAGAACAGTCACCTGGCTAGTACCAAGTTCAAGCTTTCCTTAGAAGAAAACAGACCACAACCACACTGCCTTCAGATACATGAGCACAGCCAAATCAAAGGCAAAAATTAGAGTTGTCAAAAGAGTAAATGGGAAACTGAAGCTGTTGGCCATCCTGTAGCTTGCCATGGGCTGTCTTACAAGCTGTCACCTGCTTTTATCACTTATAAAATGCTCCCAAAAGAAAACTTTGAAAAATTTAGGGCAGAGCTCACAGATGAAATTCACTATGCATTTGGCATGCTTTATGGTTTTAATATTTTTGAAGTCTATTAGGAGTACTGCCAAACATTCCTTAAAATGGCTGAGCACCCCTTGCTTTGATAATATTGAATCCTGCAGCTCCAGATAAAGGTAAAGCCATAGACTCTGACTCACCCCTAAAGCTAAACATGGGGAACCCAAAACACAGGCACACAGAGTGACCCTGACTGTCCCCATCAGTCCCACCCTTAGCTTGCCTCTGAGGAACCAAGCACAAGCAGTAAGGCAGAAGCCATTGTGGCAAGGCCACCACGGACCGCTCATATACGCACCTCCCTGTGTACTGCCTGCAGCTCCGAAGGAGGCTCGCCTCCCTGCAGCCCCACCCCTGCAGTCCCGCCCACAGGGCTCCCCAACCCCGCTCACTCTCTTTGCCCTTCTCCTTGTTCTTAAGCTGCTGTAGCTTCTGCTCCCGGTGCTGCTTCTCCAGCTCCTGCTCCTGGCGGTGCCTCTCCAGCTTCCGCTGGTGCTCTAGCAGCTCTTGCTGGTGCTTCATGGCCAGCATCTCCTGCTGTTGCTGCCAGGAAGGAGGAGAAAGATGTCAGAACTCAGGTTCCAGAAGGCGACCCCACAGACACCAGGCAACAGCCTGGGCCATATGTCTGTCCTGGTGTCACTATGGGCACCACTCTTGTCTGCACAGTCCACATTTCAGCTGCCTGAGGCCCTAAATGTCCTCTAACCTCTTTAAGTAGTAAACACGAAAACAAAAGCCCTTGAACTGCTAGAAGAAAACAAGCAAGAAGAGTTATGTATCTTGCAAGCCTGTTTGAAAACCGCATTGTGTGACAGAGTGTGAAATGGTACCTCTGGGAATTGCCTGGCACTTTCTTACAAAGTTAAACACACCTCTGCCCTAAGTCCCAGAGCCCCAGTCCTGGCTCTGACCTGACACAGGGAAGCACATCCACAGACATCCTGTACAAGAATGTACAGAGCTGCTTTTGTCACAGCCCAGCCTAGATGCAAGCCACGTGTCCCAGCTGTGTGTTCACTTAAGAGAAACTACCCAGCCACAGCAAAGAATAAACCAAGGTTAGACAAGAAAAAAAGCACAGCACACAGGTGTGTGGGGAATAGCACAGCAGAAGTGGTAGGCTGGACCTCCTTGTCCATGGATTTTGATACTTGGTTGGTCAAATCAGTGGATGTAAAACCCCCAAAATATGAAGGGGTGACTGTATTTACATCTAGTTATAGATCAGGAAAAACTACTATATAATGATAAAAATCCGAAGAAGATTGCCTTTCAGGGTGAGGTAGGGAAGATGCAGGCAGGAGGGAATGTTCCGGGTGGTGGGTTTTCTGCCCTGTTGAGATGGTGTTCACTGTGAGCTTACAGCTGTCAAAACACATTCAAGGAGTCTGGGCACAGTGGCCTTATGCCTGTAATCTTAGCACTCGGGAAGGCCCAGGCCGGTGGATTGCTTGAGTTCAGGAGTTCAAGACCAGCCTGAGCAAGAATAAGAACCCATCTCTACCAAAAATAGAAAAATAAGCTGGGTGTTGTGGTTATGGCAGGAGTCTGTAGTCATAACTACTTAGGAAGCTGGAAGAGGAGTTTGAGGTTGCTATGAGCTATGACACCAGGCACTCTACCCAGAGCTGAGCATTTCTGTTAGAATAAATTATGTCTTATTAAAAAAAAAAAAAAAAA